ATGGTTGATTTGTCTAAAAATAGATGTTCCACATAATTATCTTTATCGAGTAAATACGTTTTATCATAGAAAGGCATCGAATCGGAATATGAAAAATACAAAAGTGTGTCAATTTTTATACATTTTTTTAATGATGGAATTAAAGGGTCAAAACCTTTCCTATCTTCATAATGAAGACACTTTAATGTTCCAAAATGTTCTAACATACGTCCAATAAAATTAATAATTTCATTATATCCCTTGATTTTTAATATATACTTTAAGAATGATAAATTTAAAACTTTAATAAAGGATAAATATTTAAAAGTTGTTCCTTTATTGTTGACACATATTTCTAAAATATCGATAATTTTTATTGCTCTAGAAATTTGGTCTTCATTTTCAATAAACTTAAGTGGATCATGCTATAATAAGGTTACAAAATATCTTGCAAATTCCCTCGACACCAGTGTCAAATTAAATAAATTCTTATTATCTTCAAAGTATTCACTAAGTTGTGAAAATAAAAAAGGATAATCGAAAAAAAATTTAACAGCAGACATAACATAATTTGGGGAAGTTAATAGAAAAGGGACAAATTTTTTCCAAGTAAAAGTTTTTTCAATTTTATGTTAAAATATCTTAACAACTACTAAACCAAATTTAATGAATTTTTTTTTTTTTTTTTTTTTTTGGTTTATTAATTAAAACAAAAATTTTTTATTGAATTTGATTTGGTAATTGTTAATTTAAAATTTTTAAAAAATATTAAAAAATATTTGCTTGGTTTCTATTGACATTAATAAATTATTATTTTGTAAAAGGATCCTTTTATTGAAGGATGATTAATTTTGGTAAATTATTTACTTTATTCAATATTAAAAATAGAGTTAATAAATTTGTAACCACGGCTACTGTAACCGCATCCAATAAAGCCAATCAAATTTTAAGATCAGGTGTAATGTGAAATCAAACCAAAAAATTGTTTTTTTAAAGAAATCATTAATAACTCGAAATTTTGACTATGAAACAATCTTTTATGATCTAACAAAAAAAATTTCTTGCTAAATTTTGGTATAAACTATGCCCTTTACTATTCCTAACCTCACTCTAACCCTAACCTTTAATTGTATTTTTATAAAAAAAGACTTATTTTGATAATTATGTTACACTTGACATAATTACGGTTACAAATCAATTAATTCTTAAAAATATTATTTTATTTTAATTGGATTATGAATATTAATGAAATTGTTAAATCTTTTTAATTACAATGATATAGAAAACTTTGTTTCTGAATTTCGATGTATTCAAAAATGCGTTTGATTCATTCCAATCAATTATGAAGCAATGAATATCACTTAATAGGAATTTACAAAAGTGATAGATTTTTGAATCTTGAAGTATTAATTTTTCGAAATTTTTTCAAAGGGTTACAATGCTTTTAATCACCTCGACAAGCAACAATTATCAAACCAAAGCCCATCCCTTTTTACATTTATAGTGTCTTAGTCTATTACTAGCCCCTTGTTCTGGGCTCTCGCCCATCTATTTTACACTAAAAGCCCAAACAAATAAATAAAAATGATGCGATACCCAAATATTGGGTTAGTTCTAATCTCCCAAGTCCTTTATTCGATCTTGCGCCATAATATTTATTATTCAAATAATATTAGTCATTCAGTGAATATTCGAATATAGAGCTTACTGATTCAACTTATTCGAATAATATTCGAATAATTTGAATTAGCAAATATCTATTCGAATATTCACCAAATGACTAATATTATTCGAATAATAAACCTATCTCACTCTTCTTAATAGTAAAAATAATCTTTGCTAGAAATTTTTTTTTATAAAAAATTTAAACGCTTATAACTTCCAAACTATCGTACCTATGCAGTTAAAATTATATTTATTGAACTCCTTTTAGCATAATTTTTAAAGCAAAATATATTTGTTGAAGCCTAATCAACTTTAAGAAAACTTAATTAGCTTCAAGAAAATATAAAAAATTACATTATTACTTTAAAGAGAACTCTGAGAGGAATCCAGTAAATATGTATAAGTTTAATAATTTAGAAGTTATAATTTAAATTTTTCTATAGATTTGCACTATTTTGTGATTTAACCAATATGTAATACCTTTATTTTTTTTTTTACATTCGGTTGGTTAGGTTTTTTGGGCATAGAGCATTTTACTTAGAATACCACACTCTGATTAATTAGCTATGTAAATTTAAGTAGAAAAGAATATACATAAAATTCCTAGTAAATTGTTTATTAAATGCGAATCGAACAAAATAAAACTAAATTTTATTAAATTTTATGTTAATGGATAGGATTTAGGCCTTTGTACTACCGGTAGTACATTTATTAAATACTCTAAAAAATCCAAAAAAATATTTTTTAAAAAACTTTTTATATCAAAAAATCTGATAAATACTATAGTATTACAAAAATTAATTTATTTTAATATTATTAATAAGATTGTTGAGAAATAATTTTTTTTTAAATTGCAATTTTAGCAAATTTTTTTGTACTACAGGTAGTACACAATTTAAAATTATTTTGCTATAAGGTTTTTAAAGTTTACAATATCAAAATTTTAATTATTATTTGTTTGTAAAAAATAATATGTTTGCTATAAGCTGTAAATTGCAAATCATTACTATTTTTAGCATAACATAGTGCTCATTCAATCTTTGACCAATAATTTAAAAAATTTTTATTAAATAAATTCATTAAATTTTTAAATAAAGTTATAAAAAACAAAAGTTTTATTATTAATTTATTAAAATCTTTAAGCCTAAACTAATCTATCAAAGGTAATTTAGATTTAAATTTTTAAAAAATTACATGCAAATTTTTAATATAAAATTTACTAGTAAAAAAATTGAAAAAATACTAGTTTTTAAAAAATTCTAAAAAATTTAAAAAAATACTTAGAGCTATGAAATATTAAATATATATTGCCCCTTATATAAGACACTTTATACAAAGATTTAATAGTTTATTAATTTGCTATATTAGTAAATAATTAGCTTTAAAACTGTACTACTAGTAGTATGGGTAAATCCTATCCATTAACAATAACCAGTTTCCTTGTATTATATTTGTCTCATATGATGAATAAGAAACTTATTGTAATAGCTCTTTAATTTGGACAATAAGCAAAGAACTAAATATATTACACTACCAAACACCTTGAAAGCAGATAGAATCATAACTGACCAAAATACTAAATTACAAAAAATTAAAATTAATAAATATTATAAATCATTTAAGATAATTCAATAAATAACATACCAAAAACCAAATAAGGATTATAATCGTGAGTTGAAAAATATTTTGCAAAAGTATTTGATGTAAATAAAAAAATTATTAAACCATTTGTAAATATCTATAAAAGAACAAAATTTTTCTAAACAATTTATAATAATCATCTTTCTTAATAACGGCATTTTGGTGTTGTTTATCATCATGCTCTTTATTTTTTAGTTGAGTAATAATATTGTCGTATGCGGCATCTTCATCTTCATAAATTTCAATTGTAATAGTTTCTTGATCAACTTCAGTTGGCAGTACTCCAGTATTAATATTATCTTCTTTTGTACCCCATGAAACATCATGAGTATTACAAAAAGCATAAATTATAAGAATATTGACGTAGGAAGGAACAAGTAAAAGGTATTGAACTAAACAGCTGAACATGTGCCATGGTTCAAAATAAATAAAGGATAAAAAAAGATATAGCAAAAATGTTAAAGCAACAGAAATAATGATGTCATGGAATGCTGCATTCTTTAAAGTTTCTTGAATATTCGAAAGGTTCTTAAAATCTATTGGTGGTACTGCTTTATATACAGTGAGATACATAATATAAATTGAGCAGTAAAGCATAAATGCCATGATAATTGCGAAGAGGACTATACAGAGTGTGTATATCAATTTTGTTCCTTGAAGGCGATTACCTATTGAACAAATAAAAATTATAACAATAATTATTAAATACAACGAGTGAGCAGCTTCAAATAAATTATCTCTATAACTTTTGAAAGGATCAGTTATAGGATTTGAAGTGGTGGATTGAATTAAGAAAACAAAAGCTAAATAAAAATTTGCCTAATTTATGAATAATAAATAAAAACAAAAATAAAATGAATAAAATAAATATATTAATCTTAAACTTTGTTTACAAATATTAAAGATTTATCATATTTACCAAAGAGAACCAGTTAAAGATTAATTGTATACTATTATAAACTAATTGAATTTGTAATAATATTTTACGATAAAATGGCTGTCCAGATCTCCAAACATAAGTAAATTTGGCAATCGAATAAAAAGTAATAAAGAAAGATCCATTCAACTAGCGATGATGTTGAGAAATAAATTCAGGCACATTGTTTGGGACATCAGTTTCTGCTTTAGCTGACTAAATAATAAAAAATTTAAAATGTAAATAAAATAATTATTAGCAATCCCACATAAGAATGATGACAATAGCACAAATTGTTATGTTTTTTATATAGTTTTGAAAGTTTTTTTCCTCATTCAATAAGAAAATACTATATTGTTAAGAAATCTAAAATATAAATGTCTAAAAACAATTTTAATAATTTTTTACACTAGAAATCAATGTATATTAGTTAATAAAATAAATACAGTTATAATAAATTTAATAGTAATTTGCGCATATGAAAATATACATATTCACGTCTTTGTGTAATGAGATACAATGCTAGCATTTTAGATTGTTACCTTTATGTATTTTAATTTCCAAGATTCATCTTTCTTAATGACAAGCTCAAAACTTAAAATATGATCTTCTGCCAGGTACATGTTTGCTTCGAATATACTAGTCTTAGTAGCACCTGAATCATCATACTCACCTTTAAGGTATTTTTCCAAAGGCCCATTCAATAATGCTTCATATCGGTATGCGGAGAAAGCACCTGGTAATACTGAGATATAACCAAAAACAGATTCTGACGGCTTGTCTAAGATATTAGATATTTTATATTCAAAATTTTGAGATGTGATTAAAGGATTAAGAAGGTTTCTATATTTATAACCAAGATCTACTTTAATTTCTCCACAAGCACCACCAATATGTTGATCACGATCAAAAGCTGAAAAAAATATATATATCGATAAAAATATCAACGCGAAAGCAATTTAATGCTGATAAAATTAAATATGTATACCTTTCTACAAGCGGTAAACTGAGGTTTGCGAGGGTTTTGTGCCCACATCAAGTAAAATACAAATTTTGGGGTTTAAAAAATCTGCAAAGGCTTTGAAAGACCAACAATGAGAATTTAATTTTTTTGCATTTTTTTGTTTCAAACAAAAGATAACTTGCACTGGTGGGATATTATAGTATTTTCCTTGGACATTAAAATCATCATTAACTATTAATTGTGTAGTATATTTGAAAAGATATGCAGTAACAGATTTACCTCTGACACTTTTTTGTATAATTCCATCTTGATAACAACCCATAAGACTCAGAATATTTAGAGTACATTCATTGATTTTATTAAGACCATCTGCAACTATTAACACAACAATTTTTTGCCAACTCTTATTTTCTCATATTCTCGACCTTTTTTTGAACAAATATAAACCACATTTTTGATGACTGAAGACATTGTTTTAATAAAGTGAGTATCGTTTTCATTATACACTGTAATAACAATCATTATTTCAGTATTTCGCTCATTAATTTTTTGTCGAATTGAATATTTCTTTATAAATTCGTCTGGATTGCATTTGATGGGTGTATATCTTATATGCGTAAACTCTTCATCTGATGTGTTTAAGATATTTTTAATTACCCGGTTAGATACAGGATGGTTTAATATACTATTTGTAAGCTTGATATTCTTTTCCTAAAAAATAGTCAAAAAAATAAAAAATAATAAATAAATAAATAAAATAAAAATGTAAAAACTGAGAGATTTTGTAAACCAAAAATTAGATACCATCTTTTTAATTTCCTAAAAATAGTAAAATAAAAAAAAAAATAAAAAAAAACCAAGTTTAATAATTTATCACCGTAGAGTTTCAAACTTTCTTACAAATTATAATTTATAAACAAAGTTTGAAACTGGTGATATGGTGATAAATTGTAAAAAATAAAAAAAATAAAAAAAAACTGAGATTTGTAGTTACGTGCTTGACTTCCTTATTAGTTACTTTATTTGCTGTTCATGGACAAATTAATAAGAACGAAATTAACATTATTTTTTAAGAGGATGAATATTAGATTCAGAATATTTTGTAAATACCTTTTTTTTTTTTTACCATTATAAAAGATCAAATAAAAGTGGCGAACAAACTATTTTCTCTTCAAAAACAACTATTATATTATGACAGGGTAAAACCTGCGCAGCCAATTAGTAAAATCTGCATTGATTGGCTAAATCAGGTGAAACTCAAGATGACAATGTAAAATCCGCTTGAAATATGTAAAACTCGCTTTTAAAATATGTAAAATATGTAAAACCCACTTTTAAAATATGTAAATAGTAAAACAACACTTTTAAATAGTAAAACCCACTTTTGAATATGTAAAACCCGCCTTTGAATATGTCAAACCCGCTTTTGAATATGTAAAACCCGCTTTTTATTAGGTAAAATTCACTTTTATTTTGGTATTATAAGATCCGCTTTTCCCAAGGTGAAATTCGCAAATCTGTAACTCTAAATATGTCTTTTTCACCTTTCTCAAGCTCTTTAAATGCATTTCTAAATTCTGATCCAAATAACTACTAGACTTTTATAAATGCACTTTTCTTATCATTTTTTAAATGCATATTGTTAGAAGTTCGGTCTTTAGGGTTGCATTTAGAGAGATCTTCCTGCACTAGAATACCGATAGCACTATATCAAGAGTTGCTTGCAGGAAAGTATTTTACAACACTTTACTAACTTCACTATTATAAGCAAAACAAGTTTGGCGCTTACCATGTATAAAAGGTTCTCTTTTTATAAATCCAGCAGGTTTTTATCGCATAACGCCTAGTTGATAATGATTCAAGAGGGATGAGTGGAAACAAGGTGGTAAACGATAGTATGAAAGATTTCAACATAGAACTACTTCTTATTATCGCATTGTTGAATGGATTTCATTTGGTAGACTAGATGATACCAAAAAAAATCTGTGGAAGACTGGGTTTTGTATATTCTGCAACCTGGTTGGATGGTGTTTGAAAGGAGCATTGTGTCTCGACTATAATCCTGATAAAACTACTCGATTGGATGGTTACATATAATCATGGTGTAATGATTCAAGGTCTGTATTTTAAAAGATTTTAACTTAAAACTGATTCTTATGATCATATCATTGAGTGAATCTCATCTGATATGCTATATTATATCAAAAAAAAAAATCGATGAAGAATTTGGTTCTGTATATTCCGAAACTTGGCTGAATTGTATTTAAAAGGAGCATGGTGCTCACATGTAATCCTGATATAACAATTCAGGATGAACAAGTAAAAACAAGGAGTCAACGATTTTGATTCATATGATTGCATTATTGAATGGATCTCATCTGATATGCTAGACGATATCAAAAAAAAAAAAAAAAAAAGACAGGAGAATTTTGCTCTACATATTCCACAATTTGATTGGTTGGTATTTAAAAGGTTAATAGTGATTCTTATGAACCATCCGGCATTGTTGCGCTTAAAATCTTGTTCGGTTCTAACGATAATCTTCATGATTTTTTTAAAAGAAGTAAGTTGTTATTCTTTGTTTAGTTTATTAAACACATATTGAACTCAGCATATACTGAACTCAATCATTTATATAAACTTATAAGTTTGACAATCATATAAAATGTATTATAGAAGGCAACAGTCTTAAATATGTGAAGTTCTTAAAAAGAAAATTTCAAAGTTTTGTTTGACAGACTAAATTAAAAACTACTTTATGATCTTTCAACAAATGCAGGATATATAGACTAAATTAAAAACTACTTTATGATCTTTCAACAAATGCAGGATATATTCATGCAGACTTTTATTCGCAACAATGCTTTGCAAGTTGGAAGTATTGCAAGATTGTCCAAAAAGAAGATGAAAATGATTCAGAAGATCGTATTTATGGAACTTTACCATACATTGCTCATGAGGTCTTACAAAGGCAACCGTTTACGAAAGCTGCTGATATTTATGGCTCAGAATTATTATAGCAAAAATGTCAATCGGACGAGGTATTTCAAGCAAACCATTGATGAAGGACTTTGAACTCCCAATTGCTTTATCAAATTGCATTGATTCTAATTCACAAAAACAGATTTGCTTTGATGTACGTATTTTAATAGTTTTTATCTTGTTGCCTACATGATTCGTGCCATGTTTATATATTTCGTACGTCACACAATTTGTGTACTATATTAGATTGAGTTAATTTGGGATTCCTATGAGCGCTATTTCGAAAATACGTGTGCTAATTATAAAGAATCTGGGTTTAAACGATACGAAAATTTTACTGATATGTCCGTAGACATGATGCGAGAAGGGCCGTTCAAGAATTATCTAATAATAGGTATTTATATTCTATTTTTAAGTATCTTATTGATATTTCTTTATTCATGGTATAATTTCTGCTTGAACCAACTTTTGGTTTTTGATAATGATAACTACCGTAAACTGCCGTATAAAAGACCCAGATCTCTTATATTTCACCAATATTAAAACCTATATCAGACCCGGGTCTAGTACGGGTACATCTATGTACCTACCGCCCGATTTGGAAATTACACTTTTTATCCAATCAGTGTTCATCATGTCGAATTTACGTGAACGATCAGTGTGTAAGGGGTGCGCCGTTTATTACGTAATTTTTTAGGGGGGGAGGGGGTGGTAGAGATTTATCACGTCTATATTAGCCTCGGTATTTGATTGGTTCTTTTAATCATGTGAAATTTCAATTATAAGATCATCAAAATTTGTACGTACGTACGTACCGTACGTACTACGTACTATATACTTGCAATATATAACGATAATAAATTTTATTTGATCTTGTTATTTAATCAAGTTAATTACATTTAAATAAAAAGTATTTTACATATTAATCAATGCCAGAACATGACAAGATTAACGGTTTATTTGTGAGGTGAATCATTTATCAGCAAAAAAAGAGGCATTATTCTTATTCTAAACTTCGTTTTTTTTATAAGGCACATACTGATCATTTTTATTTCTTTTTGTCTTCTATTTATATGATATGATTTAGTCGCTGCCTATTACTGGAATAAGGAATAAAGAAGAGAATTAAGTATAATAAAATAATGAATTAATTCAATATTAGTTAATTAACTACTTACGATTTTATTCGATATCAGAAAGTGCCTCCAGTAAATTAGAAGTTTCGAATTTGTGTGAAAGACCAAGAGAAGGTAAATTGGTGAAGTCTTCCAAAATGGCTGCATTACTTAATTCAATTTGTTGGGTATCAAAAGAATCTAACGTTGCATTAACTTCTTCTGCAGACAAATATGTCACTGTGGAACTTGAAGGATAAATTAAGTGAGCGGATAACATGTCAGTTGTAGATTCGATTGAAGGTTGTGCAAAGGTCTGATTTGTATTTTGTTTGCGTGCTTTTTTAGGATGATTTGCTTTTTTATGGTTGGATATCATTTTCATAGTAGGAAAATATTTGTTGCACACATTGCAACAAAGCCTCTCATGCATCTGCGACGAAATTGAAGGACATATTTCATCATAGTTGGGTATCTTCATTTTATCCATATATTGCAAAATATGAATTGGATTCAAATAATGATTATCTTTTCCTTTAACTAATGGCGGAAGAAATCCATTATTCTCTCTTAACAGATCAAATGCCTCCTTTGCATAGATTTCATTACAGCAATTTTGGTTAGAGCACTTTCGTATGTCGAGGGAGTAGCGGCAAATTTGTGTATGACTTTCTATCCACAACCATGATGGAATTTCTTTTCCATTGTTTTGAAATGGGTCTTCATTATAGTCAACATAATCAACGTATACTTGCTTTCCATGAATCTTATCACGCTTCCAAATTTCACATAAACACTTACCAGCAAATTCAAAGTTACGCCTTGCCAAATCTTCATCTATAACTACTCCTTGGCTATTAAGATGTGATCCAAATCTATCAACTGGTAATTCAATTCCGGCGAGCTTTTCAGAAAGCGTACACATACTGCGCTCAACCGGGTTATACGCAGACTGGTAAGGGGCATGTGTTCGAACTGATAAATAGTCTAAATTAAGCTCACGAAAAAAGCGACAATATTCAATTATATTTTTTAAATGTTTAGGATTTTCGTCAGGTCCACCATCTACTAACAAAATCCATATAGACTTAAGATGTTCATCATGTTTTAGTATTTCTGCATACTCATTATGCTTTGTAATATCAAGTAAGTCTTTCATATGTGTCATTGAAGAAGTTCCTACAAAATATTCAGGACGAATATAAATAGATAGTTGACCTTGACGCAGAGACTCATTAGTATTTTCAGGATTAATAATTAGGTAAACTGAAGGTATAAGTTTTTGTTTTACTCCACGGGGGAAATCATGGTCAGAGACAGTAACAGGTTCATTAAAAGATTGTATGCTTTGAAAAGTTCTACCAACCGCTGGTATACCTAAGCCAACTTTAGCCTTATCATCTTGCGAGATGATAAGGCTAAAGTTGGCAAAGGTTGATGCAAACACTCTAACTGATTTAACTGATGCAAGACAATAATGTTCGTCAATATGAGGTTTTATCTCAGACCTAGAAACTGCACTAGTTTTGATATTCGCAGGATAGCGGTGACGAAGTGCATTACGTGTATTGGCATATCGAGGCAAAAGATAAGTTGAAAGTGTTTGTCGAGTAATATAAATATTATATTTTTCTTGTAATGCCTCTTTTAAATGCTTAATAGTTCGAACCTTTATTACAGTTTTTCTTCTTTTTTTATCAGCCGCACCAAATTCAACGCATTCATGTATTTGGTTAAGTAAGTCTGGATTTTTTTGAAGTTCAGACGGACGTCCTCTAGTATCATATATTTCAACAATCCCATCTTCAAGTTGTTTTTTTCTCTTTTCTTGAAATCTCCCTTGAGCTGCGGCACGATTTTGAAGCAAATTAAAATGCTTTTTTTCTTTTGCAATAGTTTCACAAACATCCTTTAATTTTTTACTGATTTGAAGTCGAAGATCTTTGTCACTAGTATGAATCAATAGGGTTTCATATTCACTTATTTTAGATTTTGCATCTTGAATTAATTCCAAAGCTTGATGTTGAGCTGATGCATTAGGTGCAATAGTAGGCATTTCATTAAACGAAGAAGGTAGAGGATTGGTACTAGAATTGGTGTTGGAATTAACGTTAGGATTTGAATTCGACGATCTTGAATTAGGTAAATTCGGGGAGGAAAAAGTTTGCTGTCCGAATAATTGGTGGACTTGCTGCAAGATATTGGTTAATTAGTTTTCTAATTTTTATCTCAGGTTCTTTTCGACATTTTTGCCATTCTTTATTTGCCGCGTCCATTAAATCCTGCCGTTTTATATTCGGATCACAAGCTTTAACCATCGTAAAATAGGCGAAGGCATTACAGAATTCATGGTACAAGATTTTAGGAGTAGCATATAGATGAGTTTTTGGAAACTTGGGCATGGAAAGAAAACTTTGACTCATTTTGAACAATGGTGCTTTTAATACTAAAGATAAGAAAAAAGCTATATACTATCGAGTTATTAATCTGAATTTGGGATACTTATACTAATTTTATTTTTATACCTTTTTTTTTCTTTACAAACTCTACCGCCTTCAATCTTATCTATTTTATGCTATGAACATGAGATCTCTAGTTTAATGAGGCTTTGAGCTTAGTAATGGGAAATAATTTATTTAGTTTTATATTTCTTTCCCATTAATTGGATTTTCTTCCTGTTAGATTTTTTTTGCTTCTTTTTCATGAATTCGAAGATTTATTCGAATTTACTTTAGATTTTCATATTTTTTTTTTGCTAAGCCTTTCAATAGCTTCGACTATTTTGGTATCGCTGCTTTCATCTTGTTTGCTATTATATGAGTGACTATGAATTGCATTACTTGACTTTTAGGGTTAGTGGCTTCGAAACGTATTGACTTTGGAATCATGAGACAAAATCATGTGCTATCATGCGAGATTAGCATATAGACACGCTTTTTACAGCACATTCTAGTTAATGGGACTTTTATATCAAAAGGTAAATTTCTATTTATTTGTCTAAGCTACTTTTATTCTACGATTCATGAAATTTGATTTTATAATCGAGGTAATGTTAATCTTTTCTTTATTTGTATCATTGCACTACTGAAATCTAACTTCAATATTAATTTAATCTATCTGTTTCGAATTAAATTTTACCAGTTAGGATCGTGAATATGAATATTCCCAAATTTTAAATGACATTTACAAGTATTTGGCCTTATAAATGTGATTATTATGAGGTGCGATTATACATGCCGTAGAAATTAGTTTCGGCTGCGCCGAAAGTATTAGGCACCGATTTTTCGGCCGAAGTCATAATTTATGCCGCAATCCGAAGCAAAAACCGCAAGTTATAATTTATGCCGCAATCCGAAACAAAAGCCGAAATTCAAAACATATATCATTTTGTTTTTAACATCACTATATCAATCGATGGTATATCAATTATACTTTATACTTTATTACTTTTGGCATTATATCAATTATACTTTATTACTTTCAGCACTATATCAATTATACTTTATTACTTTCGGCACTATATCAATTATACTTTATTACTTTCGGCACTATATCAATTATACTTTATTACTTTTGGCACTTATGATATGACTTTAGGCATTGATCATAAGTTGCGGCATGAATTTTAGATTTAGGCATTGATCATAAGTTGTGGCATGGATTTTAGATTTAGGTATTGCCGCATGTCACAATTCAGGTAAAAATTATACTGCAATAGTTTCTACAGCATGTATAGGTGCGATCACTCTAATTGAATCCCCCAAAAGGGTAAATTAGTGTGAGCATATTCATGGTTATGAATTAAATTCTGAATTATATAATCAGATTAATGTATTTTGTCAAATTTTAATCATATTAGCAAAATTACCTATGTAGTGTATTGTCAAGTTGATACTAAAATTGCATTATTTGAATTTGATTAGTTTTTTTTTAACATTTTTTGTTGGAGTAATTTTAATTTTGGATAATTTTACAATTTGATTGGCCAATGGTCATATGATTGAACACGGTTTTAAAATATAGTATCACCTAGGGGGGAGGGGGGTACTACTATATAGTAAAGAAAAATTACGTAATAAACGGCACACCCCTAACGTTAAAATTAAAAAATCCAATGTTTTTTTAAAAAATTGCCTTTATCTTGAAATTTCTCTTATGAAACTAATTTCTGTGTTTTAACAAAAAAATTTCCTTGTGAAATTTTAGTATATTTTTGTTTCTTTAAATCGCTAACCTTATCCTAACCTTAACCCTATCATTAATGATGGTATTTTTTTTAAAAAACAATATAAATATTGAAAATATATAAACAATGACGATCATTTCTATTTTGAGTGGTGGGTACATAGATGTATCCGGTCTAGTACATGGTGGAGGATAGAGATTGGAACCACCTAAAATTTTCTTAACGTTTAATCGTTTAACCGTTTAGTTCAGCCGGTATCAAAATAATTCTGGCCTACGACAAATATAATTCTGCCCGGAATTATGGTGCAATTTTTAAACGGTTAAACGATTCCAATCCCTAGTAGAGAGTTTGTTCCATTAAAAGAAAAAATTTAAAAAGTATGCATATTTTCTTTTATAGTGGGTAGCCTAGATATTTAAAAAAACTGCATTTGGTTATTGTAAATTTTGAGATTCACACCCGGGTCTAGTACATAGTGGGTCTGATATCTGGGTTTTGTATACGGCAGTTTACAGTACTAATTAGCTTATTTTTTGTTTAAACCCTTTTGTTCTGTGGAATGCTTGATAGCTGGTTTTCGAATAAGATACATAAAAGATTTATTCACCATTAGGCAATGACTCTCAATTTGTTTTATTCAGATTAAGTATATAAGTAAAAAAAAAAAAAAAAGCAGTAACTGAAGTTTAAGAATATTTATTTTATTTAAACTGGGTGTCTGTAATTAAAAGAATATTTAATAAATTATGTATAACAAAATCTACCAAATGTGTTGTGCTTAATTTTTGAAAATTAAAATGTTTTTAAACAAAAAATTTTTTTAAAAAAAACCACTTTGTAAAATAATATCTTTATCGTACATTGGAATGGAATTATTGTAAAATGTTCCCGAGTCGTTCAAGGATTCCAATTCAACTTACAACAAAATTGAGTGTATTCCAAATTATTTCATCGAGTACGTTGTTTTGAAATTCAAGTCGCTTTAAAATAGAGTTTATCCATAACACAGTACATAGTGCATTGCAAATTAATTAAATTTAAAAGTATTATACGAAGTTTTTACATCTATGATTAGTGAAATAGCAACTGTTTCTAGGGTACATTCATTTTTTACATTTATAGTGATTTTTGTCTCACACATTTTTGCAATTGCATAAAGAGGATTGAATAATAGACGCTTTTCGAACGCTTATAGGCATTGAAGAAATACTATCCAACCCTGGAAACTTGTCAAAGTCCAATGAACACAAGTAGATTTGAGTAAATTTAATAAGTCGTATTTCAAGATCACGTATTGCAAATGTATTTTTTGCCTAATAACGATCTTTCGTATCCCCTATTACTTTATTTGCTGGATTTTGTAAAACATTAATACAAGTCTTGATTATTTATCATGACTTATTACAGCATCGAATTTAAAATCAACTTAAGTTGCCATTAAATTTATCGATTATGCAGTATCAAATTTAAAATCGATTTGTTTTTAAATTTTGTATCAACTTGGATTCTAAATCTACAATAATTCCGTTCTGACGTACGACATATTCATTACATACTCAACAATCAGAAGAAAAAAAAAACAGATTTTTCACCATCGAAACAATCTATCGTTATATTATTAGACATAGATAGTAAAACCAGTTTTTTGTTAAAAAAACTTTTCTTTAGACTCAGGTCACTAAGTTCATCATGTGTGTAGAATCTCATGAACAACGGGATGCTAACAGGATAAAATATGCCGCTACACCTTTTTTGGTAGAGGATACCAAGAATACCATCAAATTTGTTGTTACAAGACACATGGGATAAACATTACGTAAGTTTAAAGTTAATTTTCATTACTGTATTACTTATCAAAACAGAAATAAAGTATGCTGATACATCTTTTTTGGAATACTTCGGTTCTATTCTCGCTGTAATGTTAAATTCATGGCTTTTCTTGCCAAGTAAAAGTATGATGAATCATGTGGTAACAGTAATGATATTACATAAATTTAAGTTATAATATAGAATAATTTTATTATTAATGCTAACAATTAAATAGAAAAGCAATATGCTGCTGCACCTTTTTTGGAAGAGGATGACTCTTCCTTTTTTATATATAACTGAGTAAAAACAAAATTAGACGTCATATGAATTATTTAAAATCAGATCGAACTACTTATAACTAGCAATCAAATGTCTTTCTCACCTAGTAGCTATAACGTACAATCAAGTAAATCAAGTGTGGTTTGGCGTCCATTATTGCCAAATCTTCAATGTATACAAGTGCTATTTACCGAAGTACTCTCAGTGCTAGACTTGTACACATTTGACGTGACATCACCTGGCGGTAGTAGGCTTAGTGAAGATTATACCATTTTACCTAATGATTGCACAAATAGAAGTCGGGTAAGGTATCTTTGAGAAGTATGAGTTATACATGAAATATATTCTTATTATTTTCAATGAAGGTGCGTGAAGGAGGTATAAAAACAATTACACTTGTAGATGAACACCTGAAACAATTATACAATCCAACATTTGCATATATAGAATACCTGGGATGTTCTGCTCGGGTATATATGATATAGAATATACTATATTCTTCTATCTTCAGCGAATTTATGAATACTAATTATGTTTCTTAAAGAATGGTTGCCACAAAGATAAATGTAACTGGAAAGGTCGTATTTCAATTCCCCAAGACAAGCCACTTAACCTGTGTAATATTGAGTATCATGGAAATCATAATCCTGATCACATTTGGAAAAAACCATATCGAATGTCGAGTTCAATAAGAAAAACCATCATGAACAGAGTTGCAAATACAACCCCTTCGATTTTGGCAACAGGTGAATGTAGAAAAAAAAATCGAGCTTAAAAAAAAAAATATGTATATATATATATATATATATTTTTTTTTTTTTTAATAATCAATATTCTTGTTTTTAGAATTCATGAATAGTTTAAAGATCCTTAGTACAACCCTTAATACACCAGCGAATCAAGTTCAACCAACATCTACCCGATTCGCTCCCAATTTTGAATCAATTCAAAATGCCCTTAAGTATGATAAAAAATCGCATTATCCAAGTATATCAGAATTTGAAAAAGTAAGTAATTGGAATTTTATTTATTATTACACATGTATTATATATTTATTATTTACTTATTTATTTTGTTTTGATTAACAGGTTTGTTCTATAATGGATGATTATGAAACCAAAGGTACTGTTATATCAAAATAGTATGGTGCCAAGGATGCCCAAGATCTCAAAAAACAAGCTGTGCTCCTTGGTATCGCGTCAACAATTATGCCAGTTCTTTTAACTAAGTATCCGGATTTTCTGGCTGTGGATTCTACTGGTTGTCGCAACAGCTTAAACTTCCCGAATACCACTTTTATGGTCAGATCGGATGAACCTCGTAGTCAAGTTGTAGCAACATTCATAAGTGACAAGGAGACAATACCAGTTGTCGATCTTATATTTGAGTCAGTAAGTACTTTTGTGTTCTTTAATAAACTTTGCTTGATAATATTGTAATCTTTGTCATTTGAAGTTTATTCAGTATAGTATTAAAAATGGCATTCAACTGAATCCTAAATGGTTAGTCATGGACAAGTGGAATCCTTATCTAGCAGCAGCTAAAAAATATTTTCCTAATACGCAAGTGGTTTTGTGCGACTGGCATGAAGGTAATTTTATAAGTTTTTATCTTTATTTTTTTTTAAAAAAAAAAGTTGTTTTTTTTTTCACACTTTGCAACATTATACTTTTTAGCTGATGCGCTTAAGGAATGGTTTACAAAAAATTTAAATGATCAATAGCTTAGAGATCGAGTATTCTATCAATTTTGGTTCGTTAAACGGTCTCGGGATCAAGAAGAATTTGATCAACGAAAAATTACTCTTATAGATGCTAAGGAACTTCAGGCTACCGTCGGAATTACAAACTTCGCAGTTGCAGAGACTATTGTATCTTATTTTTAAAGGTATTGGTTTGGCGATTGGATTGGTTAGTAAAAATTCTTCATTTTTTTACCTCTTTCATATTTCACACTAACACTATAACAAACACATGGCCAGATTACAAATGTAACAATTGTCCTATGAAGACAAATATGTTATTAGAAAGCTATTTCAAAAAGGACATAGTATTACAATATCGAGGGAAATATACCAAATCTCTACATTTAAACCTTGAAAAAATAGGTATATCAATGCATGTAGATAGTGGGGAGATAGAAAGGTAAAATCTAAGGTTTTTTTTTTAAAAATTGTTAATTTATATAAGATAAAATACTCTTTTCTATAAAGGTTTTGGCGGGGAGAAGGCAAACCTCCTACAATATCAAATTTACAACGAGAAAGAAGAAAAGTAGATATAATGGGAGATCAATTATACAAAAAAAACCTTGTTCAAGGTAAATACAATTCACTTTCATTATAGTAAAGTTGTCAGGCTGAAAAAAAAGTCTTCACTGTAGCTTATATTGAGAGAATACGATGTGCACTTCACTATAGAGTTGAAGTTTAATAATTCCGTAATTCAAAAATTTTCATTATATCGAAATCTTCACTATATCGAGAGTTCACTATAATGAGAGTATGTTGTATACCTGTGCTAAATTTTTGTATATTGAATTCACACAAAATCTTAATTGTATAGGTTCGTACATAATAGTAAATTACTATATCCTGAATCTTTATAAGAACTGTGCTTCTCATTTGTGTATTTATATTCATTAATTGTTTTTAAAACTTTTTTAAACTTTAGAAATTGATCAGGATACTTGGAATGTCTCCCAGTTTGGTATGAGTGCTGATACCCAATACACTACCAATGAACTAAAAGATACCGATGAAGAATTAAACTCAATTGACAACACCAAACAACAGACAAAAACATTGTGTGTCACACGTAGAAGTAGAAAATTTGCTTGCCCATGTGGCTTCAATGTAATCTGCGATCATGATTGTCAGGATATCGTAGCTGTTCGATTATTTATTGATAAGTCTGGGTTACAAAAGTAAGTACTATTTTATTTACTAATTCTTTCTATATATTAATATTTCTAACTCTTTCTTTTATAGCAACACCTTTAATTCTCATAGTAAATCCAAACCACAATGGTAAAAAAAATATTTTTTATTTATGAATGCACATTACTATAAGCTGCTGTATACATGACCTGGGTCTGTTTCATTTTACCAATTTTAAAACCTATAACAGACCTGCGGATCTCTTGTATGGGTATAGATCTGATAACTAGAGATTAGTGATAGCTGAATTAATGATTATTAATACCTATTCCTATTTGTATATCTGGCTCTTTTACATTTTATCAAAACTTTATCCCATGTTATAGACCCGGGTATAGTACATAGAAGGTCTAATATCTGAGGGAATCTTGTATATGGCAGGGTATTAGTAGTATAAAGGGCATATTGATTAAATATTTAAAGAGAATTCGACCAAATGTAAACCTAACTGTGCTATAAATAAGGGATTTTAGATTAGTAATTAACCTGACAATACTATTTAACATGTCTTTTGCTTCTCTATATTCTATATAGGTCTGTGGCTACAAGCAGTTCTCTCGAGTCCTATCTTTGCCAGAAAGAGGCTAATGGGCATAATAATGATGAGCTAAAGCTTCCGGAAAAAAGAGTATCTAAAAATAAAAGAAAAAGTCGATTAGTGCCAGGAGAATCGATTTAACTCCGAGATACAATTTTGAATGGGTCTTACCATATGGTGAAAATCGTTGAAATGATTAGCGAGAGTAGAGTTATCATGAATATTATCTTTGAAAATGGTAAAGAAGACCAACACATAGTCCAACTAGATGATATCATCGGATATGCCGATGAACAAACAAAAAAAAAGTCAAAAGTAGTATAACTATGACTTTGTCTAATTTTATACTTTTAAGTAATATATTTTCTCGAAAACTATTTCCCCAACATGTCATTTACTCGACATCACACAGGGTCTCAATTCACTAACAATATATACCTACAGCTAATAAAATGCTAAATTGTCACCCTTTGTAATAGAAATAGTTTTTGAGGAAATGAGTATATACCTAAGTAATATACTCTATAAATTGATAATAGGTAAATAAGAAAACTATATCTTCCCAGCCCACGCCATCATCCAAGGACTCTTATGGCAATATTGTCATTTTTACCATGCTATATAGAGGAAAAAAGGCATATTATATTTAACCTCTACGTGCCCGGTGGATACAAGTCTTACGCTTATTCAAAGCATCTTTACTCACAAAGATATTTATAATCAAGCTACTGCTTTCGTATTAGCTGACCCAAATTTACACACTCACCTTCTTCTTCAAGTTTTTGACCTAATGAACCAGAAAAAATGGGTAGAGACTAAATTCCTTTGGATTGAAAATTTGGCATCATATACTAAATTAGCAAAAACGAATCAAATAGATTTATTTGAAGGACTTTCAGATCAATTTTTTGAACAATTCTATCATGATTCTTTGGATCAAAATCTCCTTGTTATCAAAAGTACAATAACATCACTATGTGATTCGGACTACTGCCCAAAGAAGGTTTCGCATCCAACAAATTCTTATGATATTATACTTATATAAGTAACTGTTTAATGATTTCGCTTCATACCATCTTATGATAGTTAATTTAACTTTCGTTATTGATTTAGTATAGCTAGAGATGGGCATCTTACACTTATCCATGACGTGTACTTAATTTTCACATATTTATAACTTATGTAAACATCGATATTCGGTGCGATTTAATTAAGTACACGTTAAGTGCAAAACCAAACATCTAACAAATTTTTCACTTATTTTTTTTTTAATCATTTTTTTAATTTTTAATTTTATTTTTTTT